ATACGTTGTATACAAGAAAATCGAAGATATTTTTGTAAAATATTTCAAAGAGTCAATCTGTGTTAATAGCATATATGAATCCTCTTGCTCAATGAAAAGGAGTGTTCTGAAAATATTCATGTAAATGTTGTAGTGTAAAATAATAAGAAATGAAATGCTGTTGGTAAGTATTAGACTGGGGTAGACAATAATAAGAAATTTCGTATATTTTCGTATGTATTTGAACAAAACTGGCTAGAGATGTCCATATATTAGTTCAAGTAGATTTTACGTCATAAAAAATTTATTATTTCTGAATATAAGGTTTAATTCAAAGCCCTCCAGCGGCCGAGCGCTAAAGACGCTGAACACTGGTAGTTCGGTCCGAGGTTCGTATCCCGCGAACGGGCTGGCTGCATGGGCGTTTTCGTGGGTTTCCCCATGTGTAACGTGTATGTTTCCCTTAGAAAGTCCTCCACGAAAGCATCCCTCCCTTTAGGCAGATAGCCCTCGTGTGCTTTGCCATAGCTGAATAATCCAATCCAAAGTCAGTAGATCTTTAAAAATTCCGTATATGTCGGTATTTATTTTTTTGGGAAAAAAGAATCAGAAATATTAACAGGGATATATTTTAAAAATATGATAAAGGTTATATGTAAGGCAAAATGTCTAAATGGAAAATAGAAAGTCCTTTGAATAAAAATGAGATGTGTAAAAAAGAACCGCGACATTTTGTATAGTGTTTCAAAACGTTAGTATAATACATTAGAAGAGAATGTTCGCAGTATCACCTGTTAAGTGTTAGTAGTATGGTGTAATACATTAGAAGAGAAAGTTTTGCGTACCTTAAGTATTAGTAGCGTAAAAAAAATAAGAAATATAATGTTCCAATTAAGCTATATGGAATGAACATGGTACTTATTGGTTTAAATTTACAGAAAATATTATCCATGAAAGCCTCTAGAGGGAAATTATATGCGTGTAAGTTCCAGCTTAAATTTCATAGTCAGAGAAGTATATATATATATAACTTTACGCTTCGAGAAATGGAGGTGTAACTTCAATAAGTATTTAAAAAAACAAGAAGGAAAACGTTAAAAGAAAAACCTTAAGAGGAAAATAAAAAAAAGAAAAAGAAATGAAGAGAGAGAAAAACCTTAAGAGGAAATAAAAGAAGAAAAAAAAAGAAATGAAGAAGAAAATTTTTCAAAGAATTAAAAAAAAGAAAAATACTTTTATAAAATGAAAAATGAAAAATTATTTCTTGAAGTAAAATATAGGAAAGAAAAAAAAAAAAAAAAAAACAAAGACCGAGTTCGTAAAAAATAGAAAAAAAAAATGTATGAAATTAAGTACAACTTTTGTAAAATAAATAAAGTGAAAAATGTAAAACACGGATATTAAACTGAAGGAAAAAAAAACTTTTGTAAAATAAAAAGAAAAAAATTTAAATTGTGAAAACGTATTTTATAAATTCTAGTACTTTTGCAAGTTAAACGTAGGGGGAATGAATGTAAAACTTAAAAATGTGGAAAGAAAAGAATATTTTATGATTGTATATAAAAAATATGGTGTGAAAATTAGTAATTTTATTTAACGGCGAGAAGAAAAGAAAATTACGTAAATTATGTTTGTAATATAAAGAAATGAGAAAAGAGAAACTTAAAATATCTTAACCTAAATTAGCCACAAAATAAATTTAAATTTAAGAATTCATTCATTATCGAGGATGTACAAAGGCGTGAGTAAGTTGGAACAGAATTGTCTATGCGCAATATTTCAGCCTCATGGTGGTTTCCGCTGCACAAGGTCAGTTGCACGAAGAGGATAGACGCGGTCAAATATCAGGATTTGTGTTATCATCCACGTTTCCCATGCCACAGATTGACAAATATATGAAATTAACATACAAATACATGAAAAGTTTTCATTAAATACTAGCATATTAAGTCAAATAATATAATCAATTAAAAATAATGATTAATAGCTTGGCCAGAATCCACGTGAACCAATCAGAAATAACCGTGGGTAAGACTATTGCCCTCTAGCGGCCGTTTTTGAACTAAAAAGAATGCACATAGAAATAAAACATTTCGCTAAGCCTTTACTTAAAACTAATTACGAGTATATGGCAAATGCTGTAGAGAAGAAGGAAAAACAGATGATCAAAAAGATAAGTTGTGCCATCTAGGAAAGAAAAATGGAACCGGAAATAATCTGTTTATATGCTCTTGAAGTATGCATTGAAATTTGATTCACTGGGTAAAGTAGAGAGATTATTATAGGCTAATAAGACTCCGATTCTCTAACGAATCGAGTAAGCAAATGCTTGAAACTCGCTACGGAACGAATTGCATGTGAATGAAAACAGGAGAATCAAAACATCAAGGAAAATAAATCGAACTTTAAATATATCTGTACATCTGAGACAATGATCAGATTAAACGAAGTTGAAAAAAATTAAAAAATAAATAATTAGTTTCGAATTAATACTAAGCAAATGTTGTTTAATTATTTTGTAGTTTTATTTCATAACGTAACTCAAACTTGAACGTAAACAAACGTCCAACATCAAGCAGTAAATTTAAAAAAAAAATCAATTCATAAAATTAATCAAAAATTTTAGTGTGCCCCATTTTTCGGGCGAAAATATTGTCAAACATTGTTAAACATAGCTGAAAACTATTGTTGCGTACGTTTGGGTTCATAACAGATTGAATGCTCACAGGTCCTATGATAGGTTAGTAAAATTTATTTTGATCAAATGAAACTCTTCAAAGTTCTGGAATTTTCGACAGAAATACTCGTAGAGGTGTTCACAGTATTAGAGTACTATCAGTAGTTACATTTCAAACTACTAAGAACGTAAAGCGCACGTGAACAGAAAGTTAACTCTAGAGTCCCATTCTATTTGCCATTTTGAAAGGGCCTGCAAGTGCAGTATTCTTTTAACGGTGGTGTGTAGCCAGGGTAAAGAGAGATCTTCTGCTTCTTTATTAAGGGCAGCATCTTTCGAAAGGAGATCGGCGGCTTCTTTGCCTCTGTTGCCTGCGTGGGCCTTCGTTCAGGCCAGATGGGTATCGAGGTGTGTATGTTGCCTTAAGTTGTGTTGGATTTCTTGAACGATTAGCGAGCTATGCCCTAAATTCTGGATTGCTTGGAGGGCAGACATGCTGTCTGATATTATGGTAGCTTGATTCATGTTATTGCTTACGATATAATTTAGTGCTCGCTGTATGGCAACTGCATCCCCTTGGAAGACGCTGTTATTCCCATGCAGATACCCCTTCCACTGCGTATGTGGCTCTGTGCCTTGGTAGACAATGTAGGCGCATCCCTCATTTTCGTCCACCTTTGAGCCGTCCGTGTTAGCATAGGTATTGTGCCTATTTATCTCAAGAGACTGTTCTTTGATGCTGGCGTTTATTCCTCTGCATTGTTCGGCCGGATGCTTGGTCCAAGATCATCGCTGGTACTTCATAGTCGTTCGGCCAGTACGTGGTATCCTCAAAAGACGCTGGAACATTGAGCTGTTTGATTTGCTGAAGAACTGCTTCCCGTTCCGTGCTGATGTGTAAGGAAACCAGTCCTGCTAGAACGTTGTTCCGTACTGATGTATAAGAGAACCAGTCCTGCTAGAACGTTCAGCGCATTTGTGGCCATTGTGTGGTATGCCCTCCTTATATTAAGGGCGAACTGTCGTTGAATGTTGAGCAGGTACCGGACCTTTCGGCCTTGCATCGGCTGCGCCCATAAGGTCGCTCCATGTGTTACTATTTTTTCTGTTACAGTCTGATACAGGATCTTATGTATATGGGGGTTAAGGCCCCATCTGTAACCATGTGCGTTTTTGAAATCCATTATATGAGGGATCCAGCTGAGTTTGTTATCGAAGTTGAGTCCCAAATATTTGAGCTACGGCACAATCTTGATCCACCGATTTAGCGTGATGTGCGGTTGACGCATGACCCTTTTTGGGGGTGCAGCACTATCTGTGATTTGCTCTTTGCTATGTGTAATTTATAAGTGCTGCATCTGGTGTTGAAAATGGAGCAGGTCTCGATGCAGTTAGCTTGGAGCTCTCTTCTGGTTCGTCACTTTACAATAAAAGCCGCGTCATCCGCGTAGGCTATTACTTTAGTATGTGATAGCCACTGGTTTACTATTATGCGGTTAAAAGTAATGTTCCACAAATGAGGATCCACATAAAATTGGTGTCCCCATAATCCTTGGGATGTTGCGCGTACAGGGCAACTACTTTTGAAGCTGAAATTGCAATACTTCTGCTATTATTAGAGCTAAATACGGAGCGTTATGAAGACAACCTACTCGCACGACGTCTCATACCTGTACAGTCGGCAGTTTGTGGTGTAAGGATTACGTTAATTTTATTAACAGTTAAATTTTGAGTTAAACTTCCTTTCCTATCGCAACTTACCATTTCCGGCCGAACTGTTAGTTTAAGAATCACGTCTGGCTATTACGGTGATAAAGAGGCCTGACCAAAATGTCGCCAAATGGTAGACGTTTGGCGACTTTTACCAATTTTTCGTCAAATGTGGCGATAAAATAAGTCGCCAAAATCGTTGCTAACTTGGCGATGCCAAATTACCGAGAATATCCGTTTACTCAATGTTAAATGCAATTGGCCCTGTATTCTTACTTTTCCGGCATACCTTGTCTCTTTTGGATTTTTCGCGTTACATTACACATAAATTACGCGTTACATTACACAGAACAATTTCACATATAACTTCAGTAAAATCATCTATCTATGTACAAAATTCGTAGCAATATTAAACATTGTTAAATATTAATATACATTGATCAGCTGAATGCATCTACGAGTATATCACATATAATTTTTCCCTTCGTCTTTTCCAATATAAAGTATGGTGAACCTCAAAGAAACCTCAATCACCAATTAAGAAAGTTTAGGGCTAATTTTGGTTGAAAACGAATTGAATTTTTGTTTCGCAGCCCAATGATGCTGGGCAAGAGACAATATAATGAGATCTTACCATTTTTGTCAACACATCGGAGATCCATTAAAAGAGCAGGAGCTTGAATTTCTCCAGCATAAGAAGGTAAGTTTAAGTCGAATCCTGAGATGCATCCGAACGATTCTGTGGTTCCTAAGATAAAGCACAAAATTTAAACTATATTTAAAGATATTAAAACCGGATTAGCTGCTGTGAGAGTATAATGCATGAAAGTTGGAGATCCACTTAAAATACAAGCCATTATAGCATTCAAATCACATAAGAATGTCTTAAGTCAGAATGGAGGGCTGGAATATGAATAATGTCAAAGTTTCATAAACATACTCGAAGTCAGCAGCTTAGAACTCAACCCAATTGTATGCCGAAGAATGCGCAATATGAAAACTGCTGACGGGCCAGATTTTTACTTAAGAAAATGAAAACTTTTGTTAATAGAAACATTTTAAATAAATTTTATATTTCTCTTTAACATACATTAACAATAATAATAATATCGCAGAAAGGGGAAAAAAGAAATTTCAGACATTATATTACGTTTTTTGTAAAGTATATTTTAACATTTTGTTTGCTACTAATTAAATATCAGGTTCTTCATATTTAAACCACATAAAATTCAATTTAACATATCAGGTTCAATGTTCCTTCTAACCTTCTTCGGGAACATACAAGGACCTGACTCGGAACAGAGAGCTTACTAAAGCTATGTTCACTAATTGTGGTAAGTAGACAGGATACAGAAGAAGGGTATACAAAACCCTTTATTTTTCTCTATATACAATAACTTCCGTACTTCGGAATACACTGACCCTCCACTCGGGGTCTAACGTAAAAAAGTATAAAAATAAAACTAAACTCTAATTTAACTTTAGAATAATACACGTGGAAGATTGGCCTTATAATAACAGGAAGCGTATGTAGCACAGAGACTGTGAACACTACAATACGTTTTAATTTATCAAGAGGATTAAAACCTCTGGCCTGGAAGGCAAATAGCAACTGCGTAACTTCTGAGGTAAGCGGCCTGCTTCGAACTCACTGCTTCCTCTCTTTCGCTTGGCAAAAAGGCCACACTTAAATACTTGGCGTTCGCCAGACAAACTTTGCATAAAAACCTTCACGCTTATAATTCTGGCCGGAAGTAGAAAATAAGAAGTGATAGTAAAGATTTAAAATAAAATAAACGTTAGTAAAACTTAAGATCCTTACATACTTCCCGCCAGAGTTAATTAGTTTGAAACTGAGGTCTAAAACGACCTTGTTGAAAACTTTTAGCTCTAGAAACTAACGCGAGGCCAACCTTTTACAAACACAACTTCCCTAGAAACTAGAAATTTAAAAGAAAAGAAATTTGTTACAATATCACCTCCCAGGATATACAACAATCTTTTTTTCATCTGTACTACATCTAACCAGGAGCTTTATTCAATTCTGGTTCCTTCCAGAGATCTGGAAGGAAAACTAGTTTAATGAAATGTTACACAATGACATGGCAAGTAACATATAGAATTATACTGCTCTTAACATTCTTATTTCATTCATGACTATTTTAATTATCTCTCCCCGTGCTCTCTGACATGTGTTGTAAAAGAACACCAAACACGAATGTGTTTCTGTCTACGTGTGCCACACTTCCTCCTACAATCAAAACACTAACGTGTTAAAATTCAACATAACGAGACCTCTTAACACACCCTAATTTCAACTCTAAACCTACCCTGAGGTACTATTCTAAAAGTGGCTAACTCTAAAGTGTAGCGTCAGAGAGCCTAACTACAACATCATTCAACCGTTAACACATATTCGCCATGATTTAGTCTTTACAGTGACACGAATAACAAATTTTTTAACATTACTTTCACTTTTACCATATCACGGTATTTCTTAACATTTAAAAAATAACAGAACATATCAACATGCCGTTAATTTTACAGATTTGAAACATACATTAGTAGTACATTGTTAACTTCTATTCTTTTCAAAGCAAGTGCCAATTCTTTCTACATTGAAATAATACTATATTTCAAAAAAGTCTTTCAGACTAAAACTTCTTTCTTGCTAGAATGTTTTAAATAAAATTTATACAATAACTTTTTACAATATTTAAGTCTTTACACAACGCTATTATACATCAACTTTAGTTTTACGCACGAGTAATTTAAAAACATAATACGAAAATCGGTCACAACTCATTTCTCGCCCTTTTGGCGATAAAGGTAGACCTCGCATGAGGTAAAACTTCTTGAAATCTGCCACTTGCAGTAAGAATGAAAGATTAACTTAAGTTTGCAAAGTAACATAAAATTTTACTTATCTTTGTAATATTCGGACATCCTTTTCTGGGCCCAGTCTTTAAAGGTACTGCAGATAATAGCTTGGTTTATCCTCCTTCTTGTACGGGCTCGCCCTTCAGTGCTTTCCTCTGGAAGCTTCCTTTTCTCACCAGTACGGCCACCCTTGAATACTTTCCTTTTCTCCTCTGCTTGTGGTCTTTGCCGTTTGATGGCAGCTGGTCTTGGCGGAACCGGGAAACTTCTGTCGTGATCCTGCTTGGACCTCGTTGTTGGCCGTTCAAATTTTCTTGTACTTTTTCTCTTCCTCCGCCGCTGATGGCCCTTCCGCAGTTCGGCGACTTTTGCTGCGGAGAGTTCTGTCGGATGAGTAGATCTTCCGTTTTAAAGCCGGGTTATAGTTGCCGTCATTTCTCCTGGTCCTCTTCACATACGTCGTCCTTCTCCTTCTTCATTCTTCTGGGGGTGTTCGTGAACTCTGTTTTTCTGGACGGTGGAACGGCTTCTTTTTCTTGTTACCTTCCATTTTTCCGCGGGGCAATTTTCTTTTCACTTGCTTCTGTCTCTCATTGGCTTGCCCTTGTACTTGTCGTTTTTTCACCTCTGTAACTTGTACCTGCGGTGTCTGCCGTGCCGGATCCTGCAAAAGATCCTGAAAAGATTTGCATTTTATTACGATCGAAGTAGGGCTTTTTGATTTGATCAATGTTTGCGGAACAGGTTTCACATTCATTTCTGGCTTTTAACACTACAACAGCGTGAGTTATTTTTTCTATAACATATGGTCCTTCAAATCGTGGAAAAAATTTGGCAGTTTTATCTTCTGGTGCTGAAGAAAGTGAATGCTTAATTTTTAAAATTTCATCCCCTACTTTATAAGTTACTCCCCGTCGTTTCAAATCATAATATAATTCTGTTTTTCTTTGTGTGCTACTTCCGTATTCTTTTTTTGCTTCTTTTGTTAGTTTTTCTATATCACCCATTTTAAATTCTGGGGCTCTTTGTTGCACATAAAATAGTTTATCTAACGGTGTTTATAATCTTTCTGCCTAGAAATAACTCAGCAGGAGTTTTGCCCGTTGTATCATGTTTTGCGGTCCTAAGGGCGAAAGCAAATTCATTGACATGGTTATCCCAGCTTTTATGAAAATTTTTAACATAACTACGGATAATTTTCACTATATTTCTGTTGACCCGTTCCGCTATATTTGATTGCGGCCGATACGGGACCATTTTTTAAATGACATATGCCCAGTTTTTGGCACATGTCTTTTCAAATATATTACTTACAAATTGAGGACCATTATCCGATATAACTTTTAGGGGCGCCCCGTATTTTAAAATATATTTATTTAAAATAGAATCGGTAACCAATTTCGCGGAGGCTCGTTTTAAGGGAACAATTCAATTTCGTCCATTTACTAAAATGATCAACCATAACAAGGAGAGATAGCGACTTTTATTTAACTGACTTTTTTGGGAAAGGGCCCAATAAATCGATGCCAATTATTTTTCATTTGGAAATTCGGATTTAATACTATTTAGAAACCCGGCCGGGCGGAAATTAATATAATTAACGGCTTGACATGTTGGGCAGGACTGGACATACGCCCTTGTTAACTTTTGCAGTTCAGGAAAGTAGACTGCCTCGCGTACGCGTTGGATAGTTTTTCGAATACCAGCATGAGAAGCTAAAGGGCTGTCATGGAGCTCATGCAGGATATTTAATCTAAGACTAGCTGGGATAACAGGTCGAAATTCGTTGTTGGAATTCGTAGTTTTTGTGTAGAATAATAGACCATCTATTAGTTCGTAATGGGCCGCCCTATTTCTTATCGCCACAATATCTTGGTGGCTAAAATTTTCAGGATCCTTCAAATACTCATAAATACTTCCAAACTCAGGATCTTTACCCAGTTCTGTTATTACAGTTTCTCGGGAATTTATTGTACACGCTGTCAGCATTGCCATCTTTACGGTATTGCCTTGTTCGTCTATTTTAATCCTTGATAGGGCATCTGCTACGATATTTTCCTTTCCAGGGGTATGCTTGATTACCAGATTATATTCTTGCAGCTTGAGTGCCCATCTTATTAACCTCGGGGATAAATTTTTCCCTGAGTACAATCTAGTTACCGCCGCATGATCAGAGTATAGTGTTATCGGCGCCTTTCCAAAATAGACTCGGAACTTTTGCACTGGTAACAGAACTGCAAGTGCCTCTCTCTCGGTCGCGGAATAGTTTCTTTGTGTTTGATTTAAAGTTCGGCTAAAAAATGCCACGGGGCTGCTGATTTTGCGAAAGTACCGCTCCTACCGCATAATCCGAAGCATCCGCTGAAATTTCTAAATTTTTCATCCTTTTCAGGAAATTTCAACACAGGGGCTTGCGTTAATGCTTGTTTTAATTTTTCGAAAGCACTATTGGCTTCGGCCGTCCACGAGAATCGTTGCCTTTTTCCTTTTGAATTTTAACAATGGCACAGCGATAGCCGCAAAATCTTTTATAAAGGACCTATAATATTAACAAAGTCCTAGAAAAGAAGAGAGCTTCTTTTTGCCGTGTTTTGGAGTCGGATACTTTTGTACAGCGATTATTTTTGATTCATCTGTCTCGATCCCTTTTGCGATATTTTGTAACCTAAATATTTTAATTCAGGGGCTGCAAATTTGCACTTTTCGACATTAACTTTTAGACCGGCCTCATTTAATAAAGAAAACACCTGTCTTAAATCCTGTATATGTTGGTCGAGATTATCACTAGTAATAATGATATCGTCTAAACAGATAAATGTGGACTTTCCAAGAACAGGTCTTAACACAATGTCCATGCATCGCTGAAATGTTGCCGGGGCGCCTGAAAGGCCAAACGGCATACGCAAAAATGCATAAGTGCCAGACTTGGTTATAAAAGCAATCTTAGGCACGTCCTCAGGCCTCACCCCTATTTGAAAATAACCAGTCGTTAAGTCTAAAGTCGTCATAAATTTGGTTGATTTTATGTTCCTTAAAATTTCTTCTATGATCGGTAACGGATATACCGGATATTTCGTTATGGAATTTAATTTACGGTAATCAATAGCGAATCTCCACCTTTTTGGATGCTCCAAAGGATAATCATTATTTTTCTTACATAAAACCACCGGGCTAGCATAACTACTTGAGATGGGCGTTATGATCTTTTTACGTAGCATATCGGTAAGAATGCCATTCTATAATTTTTTCCTTATTCTTATCATACCGGTATGGTTTTTGACGAACTGGCAATGCAATCTCCGGTGTCAATACTATGGTTAGTAACCTGAGTAAATCCGAGGAATATCACTAAATAAAGAAGCAAATTCACTTACCACTTGTCGGATTCTATCTTGCTCGTCATTAGGCAGGTGGTCAAGATTTAACCTTGGCGGTTCAACCCTTTTTACTACACGCACTGGTTTCATTGTCAGCTTAAGGGACGCTTCATTAAAATCCAAGTGTAGCTTGTGCGTCTGAAAGAAAGTCTATTCCTAAGATTAAATGTGCTTGCAGATTTCTTTACTATAAAAAACATCAACCTTTACTTGTTCGTCCTTGATATACGGATATACAAAGGTACTTTACCTACGCACTACACATTGTTCTCCTTGCGCCGCTAATACTGTCGTATTATCCGCATTATATATGCGGTATTTGCGAAAATACTTTCTAAAAAAGACTTCTCTGCCACACAGGAACACTGCGCGCCGGTATCCAGGAGTGCGGTGGCCGGGATATTATTCACCAAGACTTCAATCTTCGGAAGAGTCAAATTTTTCACCATTACTGTATTTAACTTGTAGGAAGAGGGGTTTTCGTGGCCTTCGGATTTCCGCACCCTCTCGTCAGCAGAAATCCGTTTTAGTTTAAATATTTTTTTTCCTTCCGTGCTTTCCTTCTTTTCCCCTGGCCTTGAGACTTTTTTTCCTGGGTTGCTATTGAACTGTCGACGTTCGCCGGCTGTTTTTTGAATGCTCGGGTTTCCTTGCCCACTGATTCGCTTTTTCTCCGTAGCCATGTGCTTGAGTTTGCTGTAGTCTTGGCGTACCAAATTGGTTTCGCTGTTGATATTGGCGTCTTCTTTTCTTTCGACGTCCGCCGTTCTTCTACTACTTTCAAACTGGATTGCTAGCTCAAATAACTTTTCCAGTGTAGTCGGATTTCTTAATTCAATAAAGTCTTGCACTTGGGGCAGTAACCTCGGCAAAATCACTTGAGTTATTTCAGGATCCGGACGGTTTCCATACAAGAGCTTGAAAACGTGAATTTTTCTTAAAATAAAGCTCGAGAGGTTTTCGATTCTTTGTTGATATATACTAAAATGTTCCGTTTCTAATTTCGCACGATCCCTTACAACAGGGAAGGCTTTTAGTAGGGCAGTCTTGAAATTTTCGTAAGTATAGGTGGGACTTCCTGCTTGACCCAAGAGACTTCTGCCGATACATTTGAACCAGTTAAGCGCTTGGCCCCTCAAAGCGCTGGTAGCTAAGGTAAGTTTTTGAAACTCGTGCACGGGGTAGAGCATGAAGTGGTCATCCAATTTTTCCAAAAAACTGGTTACCGGTGAGTTTCCATTAAACGTTGCTTCTGGTTTCATCGAAGCGCGCATGGTCTGGACGATGTAACCGAATCCTTCCAGGGCGGCAGCTGGCATTTCTGGATTCTGAGCCGTTTCTGCAGGCAGCACAGGTTCTTCTTGAAACTCGGCCATGGTTATTCTTCTTCGTTGGGCGCCACTATCAGGTTCAATGTTCCTTCTAACCTTCTTCGAGAACATACAAGGACCTGACTCGGAACAGAGAGCTTACTAAAGCTATGTTCACTAATTGTGGTAAGTAGACAGGATACAGACGAAGGGTACACAAAACCCTTTATTTTTCTCTATATACAATAACTTCCGTACTTCGGAATACACTGACCCTCCACTCGGGGTCTAACGTAAAAAAGTATAAAAATAAAACTAAACTCTAATTTAACTTTAGAATAATACACGTGGAAGATTGGCCTTATAATAACAGGAAGCGTATGTAGCACAGAGACTGTGAACACTACAATACGTTTTAATTTATCAAGAGGATTAAAACCTCTGGCCTGGAAGGCAAATAGCAACTACGTAACTTCTGAGGTAAGCGGCCTGCTTCGAACTCACTGCTTCATCTCTTTCGCTTGGCAAAAAGGCCACACTTAAATACTTGGCGTTCGCCAGACAAACTTTGCATAAAAACCTTCACGCTTATAATTCTGGCCGGAAGTAGAAAATAAGAAGTGATAGTAAAGATTTAAAATAAAATAAACGTTAGTAAAACTTAAGATCCTTACAAACAGAATATCACAAAATATATAAAAACAGCCTATCTTTAGAATTTCCGATATACAGTCTCGCGAAGTGAGCTGGAGATAGAAGTGTTTTTTCATTATAGTGTTGCCATTGCTCATTTTCAAATCCTTGAGTTTGTGAATCAAATATTTGTTAAAGTTTTACGAAATTTGAAATTGATAATTAAACTTTGAAATAGATAACTAAACTCAGAATTCAAATTTCTTATTTCCAGGTGCTCATGCTCGGTTGGAGTACTACGTTATTCAAAATTTGACTGCTCTAGGTACCGTTAATTTTTCACAGTCCGGGAAACATTCATGCATTCATACAGATTCTACATTATTTATTTTCTTTAAATATAATACATAGTGATAATATTTGCTGGCAACAGTTTTAAAAGTGAAACAACCCAGAATGTGAAACGGCTCAAAATGCCGTTTTGAGACTAATAGCTTTTGGGTGTAACGCCCCTTTGTGTTAAAAATCAAATTTATATTTATTTTCCATCTGCAATCTTAAGTTCGGTACCAGCAAGATATTTTTGCTCTTTATAGTTTGTGATTCAAATATATTGACAGTGTAATTTAAATAAATTCACAGTTAAATATTAATTTGCAGAAAATGTAGAAATCTGTTTTCGCCAGTGTTTGTTTTTCGTAAATTCCTTAACAATGAGTCTTAGGAAAGTTAATAAGGAGAGGCAATCAACAGAGAAAATTGTTAGGATCACTATGGAGGTGAAAAAAAAAGACTGCTAAAAAGTCTAGAGGTGGTATACGTCTGTGGGACTTGGCTATTGCACAATGCCGAGGTATGCCGAGTACGATGGTGTCTACGATTGTGAAAAACAAAGACACTATTCAATTCACTAATGTTGCGGAGGGCACGAAATCGATTAACAAACAAAGATCATTTGCATTAGAGTAATTTGAAAAATTTCTTTTGATGTGCTTAGTAGAAAACCATTTCTGTACAGTATGTGCGATGCTTCCTTCGGGTACAATATACATATTTCGACCACTGTATTTGTAGTTTAGTATTAAACAGTGTTACAATAATAATAACAGAAGTATTTAAGGATCTGGAACGGATTAATTATTTGTATTGATGTACTATCTTATTTAATTTCGACACCGAGGTTGTAACATTTTCTTTTGAAACTGTGAAATTTTTCATTATTAATAACATTTTCTATTGAACATACCATATTGACTGCCAACAAATACATCTTTTTTAACCTTATTATGGATGAAATGAAAATTTTGCATTTTGGCAGGACTTCCTCCAGTAAGTTGGACCTGGTAGTGCTCTAAATTTAACTCTGGACCTGAAAAGCAAAAACATTTTGTTACATTTGCAGGTATACTAACAATTAAATTCATTTCAAACATCTATCAACATTATATATTCAGATTTTACATGCATCTAATAATCAACTGATTACTCTGAAGTACTCACTAGTTGTTGCTGTTACCAATCTCACTTTCTGACAGTGGTCGGTAAGCAGTCAAATGCTCCTGTCCTTGGCAAGAGCCTTGCACACCATATAGGTGACAGACTGACTGTAGTTTAGTTTCGCCCCTAATTTTGAAAGAAAGCATCCTGGGAGGACGAGTCCAAGGGTCTCCTACACCTCTTGCCCCACCAGCATCCTCTCTTCCCCGGGGGGTCCGACATAGAGAACTCTGTGAAGCTACTGGCTAGTAGTATCTGTACTTAGGCAGTCTTGGCCACGGGGCTATACAAATAAGGAACCTGGAACCAAAGGCCTGAGGAAAGATTGTTTATCTGTTGGCCTGCGAGTCTGGCAGGTAATAGAGCTTGAGGTTCTAATACGCCGGGCCCCTGGGCCTGGTTCTGCCGCTGGATGGCCGCGAAGTGTCGGCTTAAATGCCTGACGGGAAGTGTATACCCAAATTTCCCAGCGTCCTCTCGACAGAACTTTCGGCTCTCCGCATATTTAAAGCGCTCCCATGCTGCACACTATACATTTACAAATATCCATGCATTCTCCGGAATTCGAACCCGGGACCTTCGGTACGGCAGTCAGAATCACTAACCAGTATCGCAGTTCGGGGGGGGGTATACGTTTTAGCCATGAAAGAAATTACAAGCAGATGGAGACTTGATAAATTTAGGTTACAGTTAATGTATATTTTTCAAAACTTTCAACATTATAAAGTCTCATTTCGATAAAACGTTGTTGAGAGGAACGTACATAAAAATGCTTGAGTGTTTTATTAGGTTATTGAGCTTTAATATTAATAATTTGTTAATTTCTGTTTAAATTCAATACAGGTAAATGTTTAAATTTGTTTGTTAATTTTAATGAAAAACATTAATTCTGTGGTTAATGCAACGTTTGGTTTATGTTACGTTTCGTAATTTCGGAAATTAGAAATAAAGTGGCTCGCATTTGTTGTCGGACAATCGTATTTTTGAAGTTTATTTTCATAGATCTATACTAAACATCGAAATATAGATTTTCAACGAGACCTTGACTACCTTCGGTGCAATTAAGAAGGACGCAAACTGCTTGGAACTGTTGCAAATACACTGGATTCTGGAACACATTCCAATCTAACGCCAAGGAATTGCAAATTATTCTACGAAAATTCAAGCAACAGCTAAAACATTGTAAAACTTTGAGCTAAAACATTGTAAAACTTAACATTGTAAAACTTTGAGCAGATATAGAAAAACGGTTTATCAAAAAAGTTAAATCTGAAGGTTTCAGAAGCAGCCAAAGTCATGGAACACTGATAGCTCTGTCCGTTGTTCAAATCCGGGCGGACGAACTTGCATGGGCGTTTTTGTGGTTTTCAGGCATGTGTAACTTGTATACGAGCCAATTTCTCTGAGAAAGTCTTCTAGGAAGGCTTTCAGGCAGATAGCCTTGGAATGCTCTGCCGTTATTAAATAAACCAAACCTTTAGAAGAATCTTTAAAGTCATGTGACTACAATGCAAATTTTTCGTCAACCAGAAAACAAGGAAAATACGCCTGTTGAAAAAATGTTATATTTGCAAAAATATAAAACGTCAAAATCTAATATATAATTGGACCCAAGAGACAGATTAATAGGTGGCAAAATATTAATTGAGAACTGAACTTGAAAAGCCTGTTGTTTGCCTCTAAACAAGGGAATGGATGCATAGTGGTTTGGAAGATGTTTCGCTGTCTTTGGAATAAGAAATTTAATGTTTATTGAAAGTAATATATTATATTGTGATAAATATACAAATATTCTTAATGAAAACCGAAAAGCGTCTGCGAGAAAACGTAAAATGCAAAATACATTCAAGTTCTATCAGAACAACGATTCTAAACATGTAGCCCTAAATGCTCTCTTTTGATTATCATACAACTATCCTGAAGTTATCAAAACTTCTCCATATTCTTCCGACTTAAATCTTATGAAACATACATGAAGTGAGCTGGAGGAATAAAATGAAAACATGACATTCCTTCGAAAGCTCTACTAAAAGCAATTCCTACAGAGAAACAGTACAAAAGAGAGTATTTTTAATAAAAAAAAATCATTGAATCCATGAAAACGTGCAAGAAGCGTTTAAATTTAGCTAAAGGATATCCAACAAAATATTGAATGCTCCGTTATTTTCGTGCTTTTAATAAATATAAACTCTTTATTTGAAGTGCGCGAACACTTATACGAGTTCATTTTCAAAACTTTTTTAATAAACTATGTAACCAAAAACGCTTCAAATAACTTAAGCAAGTTATAAAAAACAGATGATCAATAGTATATGTAAAAGAAAAATGTTGTGATTGTGCTAATATTTAGTAACTGATATTTGCAGTTAAATCTGAAAAATATTAGAGTCCGAAAAAATGCGAGAAAAAAATTTCATGTGTTAAAGAAACTTTTACTTAAGCAGTTCTAATTTTCAGATTAAATATTATTTCTACAAAGTAACATTTAATCATCTATATTAGGAATTTGAAGGAAAGATTTACCCTAACTACTGAAGAATTTAGAAATATTCAAATTCTCTGATACGAATCCATCTATTTTTGAGGATGAATGCCAAAACTTTTGCATACTAAAAATCAAAATTATGTATTTTTTTAATTATTTATTTTTGAAAGATAAAGGTCCTAACTGTTCAGCTTTATGCCAGCCTAATACAAGAACTGACTCAGAATAAGAACTGAAATTCAATCTACGATGTCACCGAGTTAGCTTCAGATCCACCGTCTCTTAAGTTTTTTGTGGATGATTTGAGGCCTAAAGAACAGCGGAGATAACAAAAAGAATGGGCGAGAGTCAAGTTGTAGGAACTAGAAATTAAGATGTCTTACTAGATATTGTAATTTTAATGACACTCACTGTGTACTTTTATTTGAATGTAGGTTTCTTTAAAGAATTGATATGTGTTGTTGTTGTGATTACGCTCGCCTGTTTGATATCAGAATAATCTCACGAAATTCATAGTAGTAAGGAATAAGTTTGCTCTTGTCGTTAGCAACAGCCTTAGTCATCATACAGGTGTGACATGACTTTCCTCTGCTCGGCCTCTAGTTTTAATGCAAACAACGCTTGGGAGACGGTCAGAGGGTCTCCCATGCATCTTCCCCTACCACCAACCTCTTGAGAAGATTTTCGGTTCGCCAAATCGTTAGAGTGTCCCCAAGCTGCCCAGACACGATACATTTACAAACATCATGGTTTCTCCGAGATTCGAATCCGGGTCCTTTAGTAAGGCAGGCAGAGTCACCATCCACTATCCCGGGCGGGCAGCTAGAATTAGTATTGTGATAATAAAATTTAATTTATTCATGACTCTTGTTGTTATTCTAACCACGCTCTTAGGGAATTAAATTATTCATATAATTTTCATCTCTCGATTTTCGGGCAATAAAGGTAGTAAAAAGAGAGGAAAAATACGTGTGGGATTAAGGCATTTTGCAACATCGTTTATATAAATATTATTCACATAGTAATAGATAACATCAGGTTATGCTTCAAGTAGTGAACGAATTTTTATAAAATCCTGTTTTCTTCAGAAAATCTTGTAGAACACATTTATGGGCATTAGAGATAATATAAAAATGCAAATCATTCTATGAAAAAATGTTTAAATCTTTGTATGAAAAAATATTTCTGACTCACGTGGCACAATCTGAAATTTCTCTAGTCTATCTAAAATACTGGTAACAAAATAGGCATATTTAACTTTGTACTGAGAGAAGATGTCCCATATGTTACGTCCATCCTTTACAACATAAGGGCTACCGCAATAGAGAAGGAGCTTGACTCCTAGTGCAATGCAAGGTATTGCACGTCCCCAAAGAGTCCATCCCATCTAAAATACACAAAAGGACATAATCATATATTATATAACAAGCATAAATTAAATTATTTACTTTAGGTTACATTTTGAAGCATATTGTGAAAAGGAATACGTAATGAACAACTTCATCACACTCAATATGAAAATAAATTTTCTTGATCAGTTTGATTTGTTATTAACTCACCGGTTTTTACTATCTGTAACCTCATGTTAGAAGTCAGTCATGAAATCAAAGCTTTTGCCTATTAACAGGAGTGTTCACTAAAGTGAACAGTCCGTTGACGGTGTTTCGACTGTTAGTCTTCTCATTGCACATTCACAGCTAATTTAAAATTACATATTATCTCTATAAGAACTGTATAATCTATAAGTGGTAAGTTTTAGATTATAAACTTTTCAAACTAAATTAAAATAATAGCTGCATGACGCTCATGGGACCGAGGCATTTGAACGTTATCTAAAAGCGTCCATTCAGTGGGAGCGTGTTCGTCTGTTATTTCATCGGTCTGAGGATTTAGGAGATAGGTCTGAGGATCCTTTAAAGAGGTATGCTCATTAAAGTGTCCTTTAATGTTGCTTTGACTGTATTAAGTTAAATAATATCTATGTTAAAGATAATTTTCATAACTAAATTTTAGTTTTCAAAAATTAATATTCAGTCCGTCTTAATTTATAGTTCTATAAAACTTACCTTAAAGTTTTACAAAATTTATCTTAATTCTCTTTAAAAATTTATCTTGATTTTATTTACAAAATTTATCTTAATTTTCTTTAAAAAATTTATCTTGATTTTATTTACAAAATTTATCTAAATTTTCTTTACAAAATTTATCTTAAATACCTTTTTCTATGACACTGAATACTCTACATATAAAATATTAACTGAAGTTCTCGGCATTGCGCTGGATTTATGCAAAGAAAGGGCAGAGGCTTGATTTAGGGGCATGGCGGCAGTTTGTCGAAACCCCAGCCAAGCCGATACTATACTATACTTATAGAATATCAAATAATAAACTAGAGATACATTTTGATCAATTTATATTTATATTTAAACTATTGAAAACCCTTCCCTTTTAGCTTTACGATTCTTTGATAATTTAATAAGTACTATGAAATTTAATTCAATTAAACAATTTTTTTAGCAAATATGAAATAAAACTTTCCTGTTAATCCAAATTGCTTGATAACAGAATAATAAAATTACCTGATCTTTATCTTTTAAATTTTAATTAAAAATTATTTTATGTTTAAATTACAATAAAAAGAAATTACCGGATATAGTTACAAAGCGAACTCTCCGCTTCTCAAATTGTAATGAAGAGCAATGTTTTTGAAATGACTTATCATCACCTAAAAAAAGTAGAAAAAGTCGAAATTAGCATCTAAGTAAAGTTGAAACCGATATTATGACGAGAAAGTCAACATTATTCAAAATTAGTTTTAAATTTTTGCACGTAAATATCGTCAGCATATGGTACCTAAACCATAATTTGATTTGTCTGTTTGAATACCTTGGATTCAATGAGTTCATTTAAAATTAAAATCCGATGTGTTTCGGTCACAAAAAAAAACTAGCAGTTAAAGAAAACTTCAATTGTGTCTGTATCTAAGATGAAGAGTTAAGTGTTTAGTTATAATACGCAACTTACTGCCATAAAGATAAGCCGAACAGATATATACATACGTCATGTCCATAATTTCTAAACTATTTTTTTCCTAAATTAAACAAAAAAAATGTTTACTTTAGATTTGTATGCACCGTATGGTCGCCATCTACAAATCTAGCTATATACACCTTGTCCACAAAAGTTCTTATTCGGTCTTTAATTTCGAAACCGTTGTTCTCTGACAGATGCTTCCAGTTACAAAAATGTTTTAAATGGAGTGATTGCGAAAATAAAGGTCGGACAAAGACGTTTAACCCAATTAAGTGGGCAATATATATATATATATATATATATATATATATATGTGCCTATCCCCTTAAACGTACTTATATATATGTGATAATGTCAAAGTCAGATGTGAAGACTAGCAGAAATTTTGATGGTGTAGAAGTGTTTATTCATAGTGAATAGGAAATCGGAGGCGAGGGCAGATTAATTCTTCATTTTTTATTTCAGCAGACATGTTGTGGCCACAAACAAGTTGGCATATTAAATGTGCCTATACCAGAAAGCTTACATTTTTTACAGATTTTCAGTAAAAAAGAAGGAGCAACCAGACTGCAGTCCAGCTAAGCTAAAGCGCTGAAAACAAGTGCGTTACGTTCAGGGGGAAATCTTAATTCAGACTGAGTTAGTTTTGGTTCTCAATGCATTTTGATTGGATGGTAACTAGTGCTGTAAAATTACTATTGGCTGCTTTAGTTCCATTTACATCACCAGAATTATGTAAGAGTCATATGACATGGATTAATCTAGAAATGATGCAGTGCAAATAGATGTTGCTATTTTTAGAATAGAGAAGGGGAATTAATTTACTTTGCTAATTTAATCTTTTACATAGCCTTTATTTTTCTTATATATATATATATATATATGTATACGTTAGATAAAAATGTGTAAATCAGCTTTATAATTTAGTTTAGTATTATTCTAAAAAACATATTTAAAAAAAGTAACATTTCTGGACTGCGTCATTTTTAGATAAATCTATGTCGCATGGCTTGCGTAATGCTGATGACGTAGCGGATTGGGAACTTGAACTCACATTTTTGAGAACTGAAACCTGTTTACCTAAACCAAAACATTTTTCTTCGGTGAGCTGGCAGATTGGATAAATCCGCTCTTCGCTTATATGTCTGTTGCTGCTTGGACGCAATCTCGCTATACTCTCTTCCCACCGCAATAACATAAAAAATTCAAATGTTCTTGAATGCCAAGTAAACTGTGGCCACAAACGTGAATTTAAATAAAATTGGAATTTAATCTGAATCGACTGCGAAGTTTCCTATTCATTATGCATCGGTATTCTTCGCAATCAAAATTCTTCCTCTTCAATATGTATCTACGTTCTACGCCAAACAACATTTTCTGCGTTTCTACGTATCAGTATACATACAATTAGTACTTCAAAATTTGCTTCCATTACATAAATACATTGATATATACATACTTTGTTTACTGTGGTTGGCAATAAAAACGGAAGTGGCATAACTAGATGTTATAGTAGTCCCATACACATAACTTAAATATTAAAGGTCTAATCGTCTTTGAGTTATGCGAGATACATATCTACATGCGTACGTACAGACGTCACGAAACAAATTCGGTAGGATCCATTTTACAATCTGTTTTGGAATAAAGAGTTCTTTATTATGTCAGTACGTACAGATGTCAAGCAAAACAATAGTCCAAATAGATTCATAAACAGTCAAATTGGTTATTTACATTGTCATTCAATCTTATAACTGGAATCTTTCGTCGTTACACTCTTTTTTTTTTTTTTTTTTTTTTTTTTTTTTGTATTGTAAAACAAAGAAACAAAGGAAAAAAATCAATTTTGTAAAAAATTACGAAATATTAACCTTTTACACGATCCCTATACTTTCATTAAATAAAACATGTATTATTTATAAAAAGTAAAACCCAAAAGGTTTGACTCTCATATGAAATGACCAGGATATTGGATATTCAAATCAAGAATTATATTCAGGGACCATACAGCAAATGAAAAGAGACCTGTTTGCATTTGCAAGTGACCAAAAATAAAATATCGTTTAGAAAAAGGTATCTGCTGTTAAGAGATAAACTGGTGAGCATTTCTATGCAAATTATTGTAAAAAATATTGATGAATATAATGTTTTTTTCAAAATGGAGATCGCATTCACAGAATCCCATAGAAGTGCTCTTCTAAGAAATACTACCAGACTTCAGTCTGGGCTCGAAACCAATTCTTAATATTATCTGCATTTATTAAAAGTAAAATATTTGTATTTTGATTAAATTTTGCAAGATTGTTACCCTAAAGCAATAAAACTTTATGAGACTATTAATAACATGCTTTGAAACTTTAAAGACTTGCAAATTACTTGTTTACCGATTCATTTAGCGCAAAAAAAATGTAATAAAATTATGAACTGAAGACATTGGTGATGCAGTTTGCATCCTATGTCTAGCTCTGTCAAAGTTTACTCCGGCTTTAGCCATTTTGCTAGTAGAATTTAAAGCACGCCTTTAAATAATTTAGATAGCTTAAATAGATCACATTGTTGTGGTCCCTAGCTACTTTACTTAAATTTTGATTTTAATTTATGTTCCCTCAAATAATCGCAAGTGATAAATTTAAATCTATAGCACAAGTACACTCTTCAGTTAAATTTCAAGAGTTAATGATAACCGCAAATAACGAAATTTAATTCAAATAATAAAATAATACTAAAAGCACAAATAGTGCTTTTAGTTAAATTTCAAGAGTTCATGCAAAAAAAGTTATTTTAACATTCCTAAGAATTTGTCATTTTCATTCAGAAGAAATCACTAATTTGCTCGTCAGTCTGTACAATCATTAGGTTATTTTAAAACAGCAGACGTGAAAAATGTGGAATTTTGTCGCAGGTGTTCGAACCTGGACTTTTCGAAAACGCGCCGAATGTACCCCCATTGCACCAAGAAGGAGGGAGAAAAACCATTATATACTCCCCCTTTAAGTCGCGACGGGGAATTAGGGGACCCAAACGAGGGAGGAGATGCAGTTACAGTTACAGTGAGTGATGATTATAAATTTTATATGGCCAAACTTAGAGGACGTTACAGTAAGTGATAAATAATACCAATTAATGAATATGAATTTCTTGTGGCCAAACTTAGAGGACATTATATAAACAAGACGGTGAGAGATGTCACACTGCCAATGCCACTATCAACGTATTGCCAGAAAAACGGTTTTGTGAAAGTATAATTCCACAAAATGCAACTTTAGCCTCACAGAAATTTTGGTTTATTTTCTTTTGGTGATTTTAAAGGGTTATGGCAAATCAATGAGCGGCGCGAAGGAATAACGAACCCTTGAAGCAGGAAGAATAATCATAGAGCCATGCTTTCGTGATATTAGGCGCTAGTTATTGTGTATATAGTCACTGAAAATTAGGTTCATCGAATTCGCTCAAGTGTACCACGTCGAGGTAGACACTTAAATAATATTTTATTAAGGTGCCATGTTTTTAATGCCATGAGTTTTACTCCAAAGTAATATAAAATATTTAGTTGTACCTGAAATAGTTTTCATTTTATTTCCTTTTAAAATCATATCGTTCTTATTAGAACACACCTATATTAATGAATTTATTTCTTTAGTGCGGTAAAATTTATGCGGTAAATTAACATTTGTACAGAATTACAAAAATGTGTATATAAGGTAAAAATACATGCAATTCAATAAAAAAAAAGTTTAGAAAATTTTCTGTGTAAAAGAATCATAAATGTTACCCCTGCCGAATGCACTGGAGCTTTAGGAAGGCCAGTGGTGCCGGAAGTGAAGTGGACGCATACGGGATGACTGAAAGGGAGTTGTTCGAAAATTATGTCTGGAACAGTACCATCTGGATTCCGTCCACTATTCAAAAAAATCTTCAAGGTAGTAACTGAAATTATAATATAAGTAGTAATTAATATTAATGTCAATTGAAACAATCTGCTGTCGATTTAAGCCAATTCTAAATGATCTAGATTTTTGATAAAGTGACGCAGCTTTGACTTTTAAATGTTAATAATATTGGATCTTCAATTAAAAAACCTTTAAAAATTTTTTATTTTATTATTTCATTGTCCAATTTTACACTTTGCATATTTTCCGCTGAAGCATATTAACGCCACGTTCTGAAAATTTTTGCGTTAATTTTCTCCTTGGCTACATTCAAAAAAGGAGCTTCCCTAAATTTTCAAAAAAAAAAAAAAGGATTCGTCTATGTAGTGATTTTTTCGTCTTACTAACAAACCCTCACGAACTATCTTCGTAGGTCATGCGGAAATTTTCTCTTTTAACTGTAGAAGTTTATTTGAACATAATATACGATTCGAACATAATTACAGTGAGGCAAACGCGAACCGATATTCAGTCTACGATTTCACCGAGTCGGCTGTATATTCCCCTTCTCTCTATTTATGGATGATTCAAGGTCTGAGAAGTAGCAGAAGCAACTATAAGAACAGCCAAGATTTCAGGTTACAGGGAAGTATAGATAAAGATATCTTGCTAGACACTGTAATAATAATATCACTATCTTTTCTTATAAGGGAGAATAATAGGTTTCTCTTAAAGAAATAATATTGTAGTAGTTAAATGTAATTTATGCATGACTACTTTTCATTATGCTCTTCCTGTAACATTGTCCTTCGGAAGTTAAATTATTCGCATTATGTTCCTCTTTGCATTTTCGGAAGACAAAAATAGCAAAAAAAAAAAAAAGGGGGAGTAATTTGATATAACTAATTTTTCTGATGCATTCCCGAGATCAATGAGGATATATATTCACATCAATTCTTGAATTCGGAATGAAAAAAATCAGTATACAATAAATTACAGACTAAATCATTAACAAAAGGAAGAAGATACATGAAAAGCTCACCTGTTTCTTATATGCGCTATTCCTTTGGTTTTTGTTTCATTTTTTGAAGGAATGATAATTATTTTCTCCAGTGAAGGGCAACCTCAAAATTTCAAATAAAATGAATGATTATTCATACATATACTACTCATTTTTAAATAATTACAAATAACATTTTTATTTCTATCTTTAAAGTAAGTTTCAGAAACTTTAAATTTTTACATAATCACTATGCAAATTGATTAGGTTGAAATCTGAATAATAAATGATTTAAAACTATATGTGTTCTCACGGCTGTGTTAGAGATTGTGAGTAGAGTAACTCACCTAATTTTGGCCTGTTTCCTAGTCTAGAGATAGCCACATTGATAGGTATCATGAGTAATCAATCGTGCATGAATGTATATGCATGTGGCATGTATAAGTACTGGGGCCGCCTATTGTTAACACTAAGCAGGTAATTAGCACACAATAACACGCCGAACAAATACTAATTTAGAAGTCAAACAACAAAAATCAGCATTATATTTTCAAATTTTCACAGGACAAGTTTCGATGGTTTTACCGAACCACCATCCTCAGCTGCAAAAGACCAAGTGAACAAGATAGGATATAATGATTAGATAAGATAAGAACGCCTGGACAGAAGATAAGCTAGTGACGCCGTCTGTTGATGAAACCAGACCTAAAACATATCTTTAAAGGCCGAAGGCAAAGATGGATTGGAATTAGGATCGTTAACTAGAACAAAAAGATTTTTTGAATGTGAAATGCCTCTAGAAAATCCAGTTCTCCAATGGAAGATGTTTTTTGAATAATTTTGGCAGCAAAAAAATTGAAAGTGTGATTTTCGGACCAACAATATTGGGCAACAGAAGACTTCTGTCTTTCCTTTTTTCTAACATATGCCTCATGTTCCTTGACGAGAAATTTTAAGGCTCTCTTAGTTTGGCCAATGTAAATGAAACCACACTGGCAAGGAATCCTATAAATACCCCACGAATTCACATCCGGAATGGGGTCCTTGAGTATGGTGCTCCCGTGCACTTCAAATTTGCTCCTCCAAACTATCCCTTGATAAAGAACTAAATTATTTAAAAGCAATAGCTATTGACAGGGGCCTTCACCAACATTATTAAACAAGCAATTAAAAAATTCTCATCTCAACACACGAAAAGGCACACTCTTGTTTAGGAGAGTGTACAAATTATGTTGTCATTCCCTTCTTTCCATCAATTAGCTATAAAGTTACACATATTTTGCAGAAATTTATCTTTCGTGTCGTTTATTCTCCCATCAATAAAATTCCGAGTTCCATACTCAAGGACCCCATTCCGGATATGAATTCCTAGCGTATTTATAAGCTTCCTTGCCAGTGTGGTTTAATTTATATTGGCCATACTAAGAGAGCCTTAAAATTTCTTGTCAAAGTACATGAGGCATATGTTAGAAAAAAGGAAAGACAGAAGTCTTCTGTTGCCCAACACATTGTTGGTCCGAAAATCACACTTTCAATTTTTCTGCTGCCAAAATTATTCAAAAAACATCTTCCATTGGAGAACTGGATTTTTTAGAAGCATTTCTCATTCAAAAAATTCTTTCTGTTCTAGTTAACGACCCTAATTCCAATCCATGTTTGCCTTCGGCCTTTAAAGAAATTTATGTTTTTGTTCTGGTTTCATCAACAGATGGCGCCACTAGTTTATATTCTGTCCAGGCTTTCTTATCTTATCTAATTATTATATCCTATCTCGTTCATGTGCGCTTTTGCAGCTGAGGATGGTGGTTTGGTAAAACCATCAAAACTAGTCCTTTGGAAATATAACGCTCATTTTTGTTGTTTGACTTCTGAACTAAGCAGGTAGTTATACTAATTATCTAGGAAGCCAATGCATTCTTGGAATGTCTGATAACAGTCTTTATGGAACTCTGTAGATTCATTAGAAAGCAGAAGAAGTGTAAAATGAGCAATGCTGTTGCCAGGACTCGAACCTGGATCTTTCGAATACGCTTCGAGTGTGCAACCGTTACATCACGACGACATGAAGAAAGAAGGGAGAAAATAACTTATATACTCCCCCTTATAGAGGGTGACTGGGGGTTAGGAGTTCCAATCTCCAAATCCTGATAGTGAAGATCATCATCCACCACCTTTCAATTCTGGCACTACTGCCATGTGCATTATGTGCGGTTACGTATGCTTTAGAAATATCTAATTTCCAAAAATTACATTACATGGTGCTTCTTGAAAACATATCTGTTCATGAAGGTAGAGGTAGAGTAATTATTTAGGCAGAGAAACCGTAATAAGGGAAAATTAGCATAATATATTATAGTATGTTTCGAATAAATATAAGAAGAAAACCCCTTTAATTTTAATTTACTTACTGTTTGCTATAATAGGTATATTTTCAATCAGATTGTAATCTTTTCCCATGTCTAGGTGATGATCTACAGTAATCAAGAACTTGGCCTCCATCTTTCGAATAATGTTTGCTGAAGCCTAGAACACAAAGAAATATATTTATTAATAAATTCTTTAACCAATTAAATTGCTAATATACTTCATTTTCTAAGTCAATCTAAAACTCTGGAAAGAATTCAGTTTATATTGAAAACAGAACAATGTTGTATATCCTTTAATTAAAGTATATTTCTAGTTCCTAAAATTGCATTACTACGTATTTGAAGTTTAGAAATGTTCTGCTATATTAGCTAGAAATGTACCAAATGGCAATGAAGAGGAACATAATTTTTGATTTAAAATTGCATAATGCCTTCTTCTTCCTAATTTCAGGAGTAAATAAATTTCAATAACTAACAACGGAGAGACTTTTCATTCCAGCCCCACTTCGGTTCTTTGGTAATAGTGAAATACTGTTTCACATTGTGGTTTTTGAAATAAGGATGATATTTTTGTCTTACGTTTTCTTCGAAACCGGAAACAAACAAAATCAAGAATTCCTTTGCTGGGATTCTAAAACACATCTTCTGCTACCAGTTATACAACGACATCACTACCAGATATATCAGGACCAATACATCTCCTTATCTGCTTTGCGAACACGTAAGCGTCCTGAATTGAACAGTGAGTTTAACTAAACTTTGTTCTCTTTAACTGTAGAAGAGACGACAAGAAAGGGAAGAGTTTATGTACTCTTTATTCTTCGCAATTTATAGGTGCTCCCGCACTTCGGGATAGAAAGACATCCACTTGTGGTCTGAATGTAAGAAAATAAGAACTAAAACTAATTAAATTTAAATAAGATCTAAACTCAAATACCTTACACAAACAAATAACACTAAGATTGGCCTTTTAGATTTTTACTTCTGTAGTACGCAACCTGCGAGAAAACTACAAAAAGTCTTCAACATCAAGAGGACTAAACCTCTGGCCTTTAAAAGCGGACAGTAACTGATTGAAAGCACGCGTAAAATTAAAGTGGCGAAAAGACTCACGCTGTCTCTCTTTCTAACTCTACTTGGCGAAAAGTCACACTTTGGAAATTTGCATAAACAGAACAACGCGTTTATTCTGGCCGGAAGTGAAAAATAAGAGAGGGCAGTAAAATTTTAAAATAAAATAGGCGTTAGTAAAACTTAAGATCCTTATAGATATACCACGATAGCACGCAAGGAAATATATGTGATTTCTTATAACTTCAGTCAGAAATCTGATATGGACATCACATGACTTCTTTGTTCAGCCTATTAAATTATAAATATTTTTCCTACGCTTTATTTAAGCTTATTTCCTCCAGTTATTCTTATTTCATTAATCGATCCCTCACGGCAAGTTGAAAATGAAATTAAAAATTGCAAATTTTGAAATTAATTATCCCTGTGAATGTTTGCCGTCGGGAGTCAAACTTCTTGTACTTTTTTCCCTAATGATTAAAGTATTAAATCTTTTCAAAATATGTATGCGTGATACGTACGTGCGTATGCAAAGGCGTCACAAAGAAGTACACTTGAATCCATATTACAATCTGTTTTAGAGTCAATAATCCTTTAATCTCACCGTACATATAGATGTCCAGCAGAAAGTACAAAAGGAATTTGGGAGCGGTCAAAGTGGATACTTCCATTGGAATCCGATCTATTGAAATTTTTCCGGTTACAATTCTTCCTTTACTTCGTACAAGAATGTGAATAGTAACTGAAAACGAGTGAATGCTGAATCGATGTTCCTTTTCTCTTCCATTCCACTTTGAACGGAGACTTTTTCTACGTCTGAGGAAGTAGTAGTAGAAGAAGAAGAAGTAAAAGTAATAGTAGTTAGAATCGAACTGATGTAGGATGTAGAGTCATTAGGAGTTTTTAAATCAGGAGATGTAAAAAAATGTGCAATGTCCTCGCTGGGGCTCGAACCTGGACCTCGAATACGCTCGGAATGTGCTAACCCTTACACCACGAAGGCATGCAGGAAAGAGAGAAAACTTATAAGGAAATAGTAAGTGGCAACAATGGGAAATAATAGGATCTTTAGATTTTTTTTATGCAGCTCGAATGCGAGTGTTGAGAAATTAGATTATATTATTTGGTGTTTGATATTTCAATAAATTCATTTTTTCATTTTTAAACTAGATTGCGTATTTCTTGATGAGAGTTATCAATCACTGAACTGGCACATGTCGCATTTTAGATGTGGCTGATATATTCGTAAATTTTTGAAGATAAATCGCGCCATTTTGGGTCATCTTCTATTTGTAATAATGTCTTTGTACCTACTCGTAAACCAAAATAAAAACAGGTCATCATTTGTGACGCTCTGGCACATATTCCCGACTATTTCCTCGGCAACCTATAAGTACCAATTATATTGATAACTGCATGCAAGCAGAAATATTTATACTTTCAAACAAATTTAAAGTTATATGCAAGTGGAAATATTTATATTAAAAATATAATAGTCTAATCATTAAATGATATGCCGAGCAGACATTTTAAAGTCAAGGACAATTATAAGCTTATGTTATCTCCGGCAATAAGCGGGGAAAATAATCGGCAGTGCAGCTAGAAAGCAACTAGACATAAAGAAAATGAGGAAAATGTTACCATTTTAATCCCTTAAAGGCTGTTTTAAATCGAATGGGAACAGAAACGAACTCTTATTTAATTATCATTCAGGAATTTAACGTTTATGCGCTAGATTTTGCATTCAAAAATTGATAGGAAATGTAGAAACTTTAAAATCAAAACGATAGCTCACTTATTTCCAAGTCAAACCATTTCATTTTAAAACGTTACTTACCCTTGATCCATAGTAAGGCGTCGGTCCACCCCATATAGCGCCGATACTTGTGGTTGCTAGCATGGCAAAAATCGCTTCATTTCTGTTTGACATATAACCTGCAAAGATGTTTTAAGTTTTATAAAGAGGATCAGGAGTAATTTTCTCTTAACTGGGCTCCATTTTGCGCCAAATATAAGCGTTGGCGCGAAATCTGTCTAGACCGCGCCGAACTTAACGATGCTTAAAATTTAATGGCAAAAAGCAAATTTGTAATTATAGTAATGTATCACACAATACATATAACGATACATATAACGATAATACATATAACGATAATTATACATATAACGATAATTTGTGCAATACTCAATTGATTTTTAAACGAAAGCAGATAGCCGTATGGTACATAAAACATTGTACAGCTATTCATTACCCCATATAAACAGGCTACTACATTTTATGCTTTGGCTTATATTTGATCATTGGAGCCCGGTTAACAGCGCAAAATCAGGTTCAGCTTTAACATCTGTAAAGAATATGCAGTTTATATGCTATCTTAATGTTAAAATAAGAAATAAAGTATTGCATATATGCCTTTCTTCTCAAAATGATAAATATTTCGATTATAAGTATATTTCGAAATACATTCAGACCTGTTTTTGTGCGGTTTATAGGAATTGCATAAAAATCGCGCAAAACTTACCTATAAAAAACAGTGTCAGAGACGTTTAGAGTTTAGATGTTTTCAGTTACCATGTAGTCAGTGATCTGTTTTTACGACGACTGTTGTTTCTCTGGACGCTTGTGTATGTCTCGGTAGCCAGATATACAAGATTCAAACTCTTTTTTTTATTGATTATTTATTTTATTTTTTATTGATAACTTCATCAATTGTGTTCCAATTCGTTCGAAATTTTAATATACCGCACAAAAAAAAATCGCACAAATAAAAAATCGCACTAAAACAGGTTTGAGTACACATGTCATTAGACTAATGTTTGTATACAGGATCTTCGCAGAAAGTAATGAGACGGGTCGTCAGCTACAGAGTTTTGTGGAAATCAGTTGGCCCTGCAGTGCACGCATCGTTCGTGAAGTAGACAAGCATTTGAAAGTGGCGTTAGACTTTCCAGAATGCAAGGGAGTGCCGAGCAACAATACGCCGTAAAGTTTTGTGTAAAACTAAACACGTCCTCTACTAAGACGCTTGCAATGTTACAAGAAGCCTATGGGAAGAATTCTTTGGCCAAGGCTAAGTGTTTAGATGGCACAAAAACTTCAGACACGGAAAAGAGAACTTCGATGGCGAACAACGGCTGGGCGTCCATCAATTTCTCGAACTTATGATAATGTGGCTAAAATTAAAGAGCTTTCGCTTCGCGTGAGTTTGCGAATGATCATCGCGTGAGTGTGCGAATGATTGTGGAGACATTGTTTCTTACAAAATCGATTATGTATTACATCGTCAGGGAAGAAATTCAGATACGGAAAATCTATGCCAAGCTATTTCTAAAGGTTTTGGCCTACGAACAGAAAGAAAACGTTGAGCAGATTTCGCGTGAATTGTTGGAGTGTTTAACAAGTGACTCTAAGTTTTTGAAGCAAGTCATCATCGCTGATGAAGCATGGGTTTTTCAGTATGATCCCGAAGCAAAGAGGCAGAGCGCATAGTGGCACACGCCCTCATCTTCTCATGAAATGAAGGTTCGAGTGATTAAATCAAAACTGAAGTCCATGTTCAGTGCTTTCCTCGATACCAAGGGAATAGTGCACGAAGAGTACATGCCACAGGAACAGACAAATAATGCAGATTTTTACAAGGAAGTACTTCAAAGGTTGAGAAATTGACTTGATCTCGTCCGCCCGGAACTCCCAAACAATTCGATTCTGCACTACGATAAAGCACCGGTCCATATATCCTTCAAAGTGACACAGCTTCTAACGAACACAAGGTCGCAACGCTGCTCCATCCACAGTAATGCCCAGTTCTGTCAACATCGGACGTATTTCTACTCCCTCGGTAAAAAACCAGATTAAATGTTTATTGCTTTGGTAATCTGCAGAACTTGCAGAAAATATAACCTCCGTCCTAAACAGCATTCCAGATAAAGACTTCGAGGGGGGCATCAATGGGTGGCAGAGTCGTTAGCAAAGGTGTTATAATTCAGGAAGAGGCTATTTTAGGGAATATTAAACATCAGTAAAATTGTCTTCACATAAAGGAATTTTATGATATCAGTTTCTTTGCTTTTTGACAGACCTTGTATTTTTGGACCCAATGAAATACTTTAGTTTGCTTGCACATAACAATTTGTATTTAATATCAAAACTAATGGCCCCAGACACAAATTGCATGCAGGCGAACGCTCGATCTGAGAGTAGTGAACGACCACAGCACTTCTTTAAAAAATATTTAATTAAATTTCAAATTTTGCTTCTTGGATATTTATCGAAACAGACAGAAATAATAATAATCATAATACTAAAGCAAAGGAAGAACTCAAATTAATTTGTATTTTCTGTCGAAAGTCTAAAGGTTGGTATAGTTTAACCGCGTGTGCCTCGACCCTAAGCATAAACACAGATGCTGCCACTCGGACCAATGTATTGAAGAAATAGGGTAGATGGAACAGAAATCATGTGCTAGGATTTTTTTCCGTTCTTATTTTTTTCCTGTTTGTCTTCATTACGTTCGAAAAGCACATTTGAGGAGGTAGAAAATTAATTTTAAGGAAATTATATTTCCGATTGTTTATATTTGTAAAATAATAATAATACCAAAAATAATAAAACATCAATCCAATAAACCATTTTTTTCAAAACTTTTGTTCATATTCTGGGTCTACCTGTTATGTTATAAGTCACTGGTGTCCAATTATTTACATTATGGTGTATGTATATATTATATGTAGTATGATATGTATTATAGAGGAAAATATAAGAAAGGCCGATAAAAAAGGGCCCATTCTTTTCAAAGGGATGGTTAGAAGAGAAGAGTTGGTCAAACCCTGTCTCAAACAAATATAATTATTGTATATATATTTTGTAGTATTTAAATAACCAGGTACAGAATGTGCATGCTGTTTTTCTAATTAATTGTAAGCCTTTTATCTTGATCTTCTACTTACAAGCAACTGTGTCTCCTATTTGTAAGCCATGTTTTCGAAAGGCTGCCGAGTAGAGCTTAACTTCTTCGAACAGCTCTGCATAGGTGACTGTCTCTTCATATCCAGTTTCATCTGAAACAGAAACACGAGGTTTGAAAGGGAATCTAGCTTAAGAATGAGATAAGGTAAGAATTTCATGAAGTAGACTATACGAATGCTTTTGAAGAAATTTTATAAACTCGTTTTCTGGTTAATTGTAAGTAAGCTGTCTTTTTTCACACTTTTATGGTCTCTAATTTAACAATTGGTAATCAGAGTTATTTAAAACATGTAATAATGGCAATGCCTAAATTAAGTTCCGTGAGCATTTTTCCTATAAAAATGTGGGTATTTTTCCTATAAAAACTATGCAAAAATTTTCTTCAGTGATTAGTTTCCGTAAATAATAATAGAAAGTAAGTGAAGAAGGTTAAAATAGGATCAGGAATTTTAGTACTCAGTTAAACTTCGTTAATTTTTAATTTCCCACTATTGATAAGGATTGTTTCGGCTTTATATCGGAAACTAACCTGTTTCTTCCTAGAAAGTTTAGATGTAAATAAGGAGAGAGGGAAGAAAAAAAGGAAAAGCTCGTGATCAGTGATAATAGCCCGTGATAAATCCGTAAGAAATATTAAAATCATTGTACTGCTAATATTATTGTAAATCACTGCTGTGTAGTGCAGTTCCAAAATTCAGAGGAATTATGAAAGATAAATAAAATAAATCATAATGTTCATAAAAGCAATCTGTAGTCTTTGATTATTTCTCTATAAACAATTGTATGCAGTATAACTAAAATTATCCGAACTCTGGCTATCCGAATCGCTTTCAGTGTTTAAGAAAAAAAAATAAGACGGAAACGTAGTGTTGGACAATCAGTTATTTCAAACATCAAAAGAAACAAACCTACACTTTTAAACTTCGCGTCAATGCTTGAAAACGAAGATAGATGTTCTTCAGGATAATCAATGTAGCAACAAATAAAAATTTAGATGATGTCGTTTTCAAGTGGGTTTCGCAGCAATGTTCTATGGGAAACCCAATTTCTGGTAGCAGAAACTAGGTACTAGAAGCAGAAAAATTAACTCTTCAATTTAAGATCACTTTCAAGAATCTATACTTAACAGATTTTAAGATACAGTAAATTATTTAACTGAAATTTCCACTTTTGCATTGAGTTGAAAGTGAAGGGGAGGAAGGGGGAGCAAATTTTCAATTCTCTTGTCTACTCTGATAAGGGATTTCCGGTGGGATGTGTTATAGGGTTTGCCATTTTGTCCTTCGCAGCTGTTTTGACTTGGCGATCGTTTGGCAATTTTTAAATTTCTTTTTAATTCAACGTCTTTGAAAAAGGAAAATTTTTACAGAGCGTAAGGCGGTGGGTAAAAAGCTGTTTTTTCACAATTTCTGGCATTTGTTAACCAATGTGGCCGTATGGTCTTATCAAAAAGGAATTTGCAAGTGGGGATTTGGGCCTTCTTGTCTTCGTCCCTTTCGATGCTTCTGGCTTGAGTCATCTTGGCTAGATTTTTACGTTCTCGTTGTTGCTACTAATTTTTGTCACCTCAGCTCAGCGATGAAAAATTCAGCGGGCAGCTACACTCAGCGTTCGTCTTCTCAGCGGAAGTGTTTTTCAAGATCAAGACGTTTCATCAAGATCAGGTTGTCTGAGCACCAGAAAATGTTTGATTTGTCTTCCTACCACCCAAAATTCTGCGGTCAGCTACACACGGCGTTCGTCTTCTCAGCGGACATTTTTTTCCATCAAGATCTGATTGTCTGAGCCCCAGAAATATTGATGTTGATTCCTCTACGCAAAATCTGGAGTTTGTCTTCTCATCGGACACTTTTTTTTCATCAAGATCCGGTTGTGTTTCACCTGAAACTGCGGATGTCAAGAGAAGATCAGTTATATATATATTTTTTATATCCCGTAGTCTTAATTCTTTTGGACAATAGCTACACTTTCAACATAAATGATTAGTGATATTTTAAGTTTTGGTTCCTTAAGAACTAAACAGAAGTAGAAAGTTTAGGTTAACTTCTACTAAAGTTAAGTTTAGTAGAAAGTTTAGGTTGCTCAGTTAATTTGATCAGTTTAAGAGAATGGTTGTTCTACTCGGTACCTATTGGGATTTTCTTATGCAATGTAAAGATGTTAATAAAATTTTAAGTTAACTAAAGGAAAAATAAAATCTTGTTAATTTCTTAAAACTAGTTAATGCTCTTGATAAGGAAATTTTAGGTTAACTAAAGGAAAAAAAATCTTGTTAATTTCATGCTCCGAGACTGAGTATTCATATTCCCTAGCCTGCTACTAAGTAAAAATTTAGTGGAAGAAAGAAATTATTGAAATAAATTTAAATTAACATACTACTGTTTGTATGAATTAAGTTGAATATAGGTTGAGTATCATTCTAAGAATTTTGTTAATGTTGTGTTTTTGTTTTATTTCTTTCAAAGTGTAATAAGTTGGAAATATTTTGTTCTACGAAACCTTTTATGAATACCCCTTTAATGAAGTTAAATTGATTAAATAGTGTAATAGTGTTCGAAGAAAATATTAAACAAAGTAGGGTCTTTAAGGTGCAATCACTTTTTTATGGCTATGTATTTTTTTAATTTTATTTCTCCCGTCAAGAATTTTTTATATAGAATATTTTAAATATTTTTAAATGTCTAGAAGAACTCGATTGGATAAATAAATGTCATGCATTTTCTTGGGATAACAATTGTATGTTTTATTTAGTTATTACACATGATCATCACCAGCTAACTACACGAGGTTTATTCCATTCTAAATTTATCACAACGCGATGAATACATGGTTTAAGTTAGACTTTCGTGAGAATTAAATTTGTATGAGGTATCTTTTTAAAAGCACCTTAACAACGTGAATACGAGCCAGGTTCTCTTATAGGTCCTGCATGAAGACATCCCTTCTCTTAAGCAGATAGTTAAGTCTCTTAAGTCTCTTAAGCAGAAGAATATGCTACTCAAGGTTAACTTGAGTAGCATATTCTTCTAATATGCCTCAATTATTGAAGGTTATTCTTAGTGAGATAAATATTGGTGGTGCTAAGTAAATAACTTAAGGCAACGCATACGAGGATTATTTTTCTTGCAAAAGACATAGTTTTGTGGAGGATTTCCTAAGGAAAACAGGCTTTTATTTACTATATTACATAGTGGAACTTACCACTCTTAGACTTACTAATGCAACTAGCCTAATTTCTTGGATTTGAATTGGTGTCGACCATTGGTCAGAAGTTTTATCTGTTGAGCCACTGGTGCCATTGAACTAATATGCTTTGACTCCGATGAAGAAAGATAATGAAATGCACTTCAGAACGAAAAGCGTCAAGTAGATTTGTTTTCATGTCAAGCCGAAAGTATAGACGATTAAGGTAATTAATAAAAGTTAAAATGAATCGAGGTCCTAAAAATTTCAAATTTTAATGTATATCTATGGATGCGCTATGTTTTCTTTAAAATTCTAGTTAATTTACGTGTCTTTAGCTACTAGAACATTAGTGAAAAGTTTATCAACTATCCGCTAGTCTTCTTACAACTATTAAATATAATTAGGATAAAATAACTCACCTAACAAGTACTAATTTAGAAGTTAAAAAACAAAAATCAGCGTTATATTTGCAAATTTTCACAGGACTATTTTCGATAGTTTTACCGAACCACCATCTGAGGATGATGGTTCCATAAAACCATTGAAACTAGTCCTTGTGAAAATTGGCAAATATAACGCTCATTTTTGTTGTTTGACTTCTAAATTAATATAAAATATAAGTCCAAAGAAAGGTTAAGTTACCCTTTATTCACTGAAAAATATACTAAAAGACGGCCCCTCTTGGGCTTACAAGAAAGAATCCGCCCGGAAGAGAGAAAAGACAGAAAGATAATAGATAATAAATAAGAAAGTAAACTAATTCTAAACAGCTAAACTTAGCTGTACAAATGTTGGCCCGTAATTAAACTGCACCGGCGAATACTAAGAGGCACATAAGACTACGACCATATGTAGTACGATAGGCTCAAAGTAACGACGTAGCCAGAAGGCAGAACACGCTGTACTGGGAACTTCTGAACTCTTCTACGGAAGTGTCTGAACTTCCCATTAAACATTGGCTCTACTTCGTTTGCATAAAGTGCGATACTGAAATCTCATTCTGGCAGGAAGTTGTAGAGGGGGAAACAAGAACTTAAAGGAAAGGGTTTCAAAATTAAAAGTAACTATTAGAAAATTAAAAGAATCTCTACAATTCTCCTAAGGTTATCTTCAAACTACCAACGCACAGTTAAAGTAATTTTCCCTTGACTCACCTTGGAATTTTTCCTTATGTTCTACAATATAAACATTTAAAATTTTTCATTTTTATTTATCAACAAAACGCTTAATGCACGAAATACGGGCTTTTAATTACGGAAGTTAAAGTATTACCGTAATAAATGAGAGCTACTCTGTCATCTCTTATTCTCAAGAGATTTTCAGCATAGTTGAATCGCGCACCAGGAAACCATTCATAATCCAGCAAACCATCTCCTGTCTTAACCACGACCTGGAAAAGATAATAGATGGAAGGACAAGAATACTCAATTTGATGAAAATATAACAGAAATATAATCTCACCTTTAATATTATCTCTAATAACATTAGTTTAAAATAATGACTTCCAAAATTCATATGTATAAAGATAAAATTCAGATTTTTGTTCTGAATAATTTATTCAGATAAAGGCAAGCATTTGTGATAAAGTTTAAAAAAGAATTTATAATGACAGCATAAAAAGATGCTTTTTCAGCTTAAATAATTTAAGTCACATGAGCAAGTAGGCATAACAGTTAAACTTATGCTCAGCTTTGAGCACAACTCTCCTGGACTGATGGTGTGGTGAGGACTACCACTCGAGCAGTTTGTCATTATCCTCCAAAATGACTAGAGATTCCTTTTTTACATGGGACTATGGAAAAATAGTTTCAACACTAGTGATATATCGTCTTAATAATAACATACGTTCTGTCGGAAAAAAAAAAAAAAAAAAAAAAAAAAAAAAAAAAAAAAGAACTGGTTGTGCACAATAGATGACTTCTTTAGAGGTCTGATTCAATTTTATATATTTCTTGCTGCACTTGATTTAAAGTTATTTCCTTGAATTATTGTAACTTAATTAACTTATTCCTCAAGGCAAGTTGAAAACGATATTAAAAACACAACACTTTGAAATTAAATAATCCGGGCAATTTTTGCTGTAAGGGAGTCAAAATTCTTGTAATTTTATTTTTTATTACGAGTATAAAATTATACGAAATATAAGTATACGAGCCGGGAGACCGTATTAAATTTTAGATTATATTATTTGTATTTGTGCGAAATTAAAATTTTTAAAATTTGACATTGTGAATGCTTGTGTGATTGAAAATACTTCTGTAATTGTAAAAAAAATGTGTATATAACTCTGACCATCGATTGCGAAAATTAAGGCCGCGTAAAGACTTTAAGCCGATAATGATGAATATATATATAATATATATATAGAGAGAGAGAGAGTAAGAAATTTAGAATAAACATTTCCCAAAGATCAGAAATTGAAATTCATAATTAATAAATTTTAAATAATCATATAAATGCATCAATGAATTTTAAAATGTTAAAACCGAAGCTTTTCAAACAAGCAAACACCCACTTGAAAAACACCACAAAAATTATGAAATTTAATGAAAAATGAACAAAAGCAGAAGAAGAATTCAATCAACTTCAATGTCACTTCATCAGGGTGTAGGAGCTTAAAATAATTGGAAATTTAATTAATTAATTAAAATTAATTTTTGTATCTAGAATTAGCCGATGAACCATTTCATTGTATTTTAATAATAAATATAATAGTTCACACGAAAATTTGGGACCTTCCCCAAAGCATGGAAAACGCAAAGTAAATTCTAATTAGGAAAATTAGAATAATCTTTAAAAAAAGGGAATTTTACCTTTTTAAAAAAATTGAAAACAAAAGTGAAAAAAAAATTACTTCAGCGAAAAAAATTTTTAATGAAATGTTTACTTTAAAACAGATAATCAATCCAATAAATTAAGATGTAGTTGAAAATCACATTTAGAACATACAAAGGGTAATTAAGAACTACCAGCTACCCTTACTCTCATTAGACTACAGTCTAAACATGAGAGGCGAAACAGAAAGGTACTTACAGGTTTGCCATCTTGGCTTCATTGCCGAAATTTTGGCTAGAAAGTAATCGTTTAAAAGGCTAAAATCTTGTACACAATATGTAATTTTGAAACCAAAGTAAATCTTTTAAAAATTGCAAGGAAAATTTCTTTATATTTTTTAGTCAAATTAAAAGACTGCATATTAATTGAATGAAATTTAAGTAAAATCTTACTCTTGTAAATCAAAAAAGGGAATTAATAATATTATTTAGTGTAAAACTTTAATTAAATTTTAAAATCATTAATTCTTAAAAAAAAACTCAAAATGTTGTCCAAAAAGTGATCAAATAGTTTTTAATAATTGTTTTGTAGATATGAGTAGTATATTTATAAAGTTGAATTTTAGTTTTTAAATTTTGTACTTTAAAATACAGGAAGAGTTGAAAAAGGAAATAAAGGAACTATATTAGAAAAGTAAAAAGTCTTCACGTCATGGACTTCTCATGACGACTTTGAAAATATATAAGGCCATGTTAGTAACACAATAGTAATTTTTTTAAAAAAAAAAACTATATACCCTTTATAACATCCTTCTTTATCCTTCTCTTTTGGAGCTTTGAGGAAAAAAATTCATACTTTTAAAAAATATTATAGGGTGCAGACTACTTCAAATTTCTTTAACATACTATTAATGAATTTTAAAGGAATCTCATTATCTTTTAAAATATTGACGAGAATTAGAATTTCTTCTTTTTGTGTTTCTATTTCAGTGTAAACGTTCTTAATTCTACTAATTCGGTTAAAAGTAAGATTTGCAATAACTTTTTTAGATATGTTAGAATTCCAATTCATAAGTTTGTTAGTGGAAAAACTAAAAATCTTTTCTTTTATCAAAATGTTTAATTTTGATGAAGATACAATGATGTTAACTTCATACAAGGAGGTAAACGCTTCAATACTGACACTATTATGAGAAGAATGTATAGGTACGTTTTATTGAAACACATCGAAAACTAAGTTGAATCGGCCAAATTTTCTTAGACATAAGAGCAAAATTAAGAAACAGATCCATTTAAACTGCAATACGCAGGTGTAAATATGTGTAGATAGTATGTACACATAGTATATACTGTTTATATATATTACGCTATGAATTGTTCAGATCCTGTGAAAAATTTATTTCTGTAACTATGCGCTTGTTCCTTACATGGTAAATTTGTTAAAATTTCTTGAGAATCAAGGACATTTTATGTTTAAAGGGAAGAGAAAGAGACGATGTTATCAAGTTATTTTGCCGGTTCTTTTTTCCCCTATTATAAATAAAATATCTATTACACTGTAATACATTTATTTAGTTTATAAACGAAAAATAAAACCAATACCTTATCATAAGGCTTGGATGTGATGACTCCGAAATAATTCCATATTTCTTCCCAGAAATTTTCATAATTTTCTACGGACCACCTTTGGAAATCCCAATAAGAATCTGCAGAAGAAATTTCGTGCCGCATTGACTCCTGAAACTCTTCAAAACATATCATTCTTCGAAATACACTAGAGAAATTGTTTCCATCAAGTATTGAATACATTAAATCCTTTACCCGAATATGTGCACCTCAAAGTCAAAAATTTAAATTCCAAATATTTTTATTTATTTCATTTTATGCCAGTTTAATCATTTTTTGACTGAGAAACTTCCGTTTTAAAAGCAACAAGTTGCCAGTGCTCGAAATAAAATATTTTTATTTATTTAATAACAAACCCAAACAGCGGAAGTTTATTCCATTGTTATCTTTATCTGTATATTTATTTGTCACTTTTTCTTATCTGTAATATCACACAGCAGTCTAGCAAGGCTTGAAGTAACATAAAACTTGAAGTTCCTCTTACACGTTTGTTGCACTTTAAGATAAAATGGAATGAAACGTCGGTCAACGATCTAGCAAGTTTATAATTAAATACAACTGAAATAACAATAAAGCTTTAATTTTGTTTTACTCAATTGTTTGCTTTGTACCATAAGTTAAAAGGGAATGAAAAGTCACTGAACAGTCTAACAAGGTTTGAAATTGCATAAAAGTTTAAATTCTTTTTACAGGTTTGTTTGTTTTGGTTTTTGTAATCTTAAGTTAAAACGAGATGAAAAGTCGCCCAACAGTCTAATAGGGTTAAAAGTAACAATGAGTGGTATATGTTTGATTGTTTTGGTTGCGGTACTTGTTTGGTTGGAAGTTAGAACGGTATGAAAAGTCTCTAAATAGTCTAGAAAGGTCTAAAATAACATAAAATTTTAAGTTATACATGTTTAATTGTCTTCAATGAAGTACTTGTTTGGTTTTAAGTTAAAATGAGATGAAAGATCGCCCAATAGTCACGAAGGTCGTGCACGAAGTCATACAGAAAAGAGGGAGAAAATACCTTATATGCTACCCCCTTTTAAATGGCGTCTGGGGATTCGGGGACCCAATCGCCAAATCCTGATGCTGAAAAATCATCATCCACCACCTTTTTAGTTCGGGCGCCTCTGTAAAGTCATTAGGTTATTTTAAGCAGAAGATGTGGAAAATGAGCAACACTCTAAGACGTAATGAATAAGATACTCAAGAGGATAACAAAGCTGGTTTTTCTGTCTGTTGAATTGACTGTAGAGTGTAACTTCACAGCATGCGACTGCCACTTATTCTGCCAAACAGTAAAGTAATTAGGAAAAGCAATAACACGTCCAGCTAATAAAATTTTAATTTTATTTAGATTAATTTTACTGTCCATAATTAATATCCAATGAAAGTTTCGCGGTAAATTTAGGCTATTATAGTAATTCAGTTCAGTTTTTAATCAATATTTAGTAACTTACCAAAATGTAAATTGTACTTGTCTTTAACAACTTTCTTAAATTTATTTAGTTCTGTGTCTGGAATTTTCTTGTCCCACACAACAGGAGGTAGACATCCATTCACGTAGCCGTTTTTTGGCGTTTTTCCTGGAAATAAAATGGTAGAAAATGAACAGAGGCGACTATTATTTATTGAAGATGCTCTAAAGAATACTTGACAGGCAAGTTTTCTTTTTTTAAAGTAAAAGATAACGTGATTACATTTCCTTTCAGTTTTCAATCGTACAATAAAGGTTCCAATTAAAGAATAAGAATCGTACAATAAAGGTTCCAATTAAAGAAATGGATAAGATAACATTATCTTTCTTACTAAAAAACTTTTGTCACGTGATATGTTTTACAAAATATACTATATTTAAATTTTTATGCAGACTCTTTACGAATGAAACATCAGTTTCTTATTTTTATTTATTTACTTTAATTTTGTTATTTATTTTATGTTTTTTTTTTTTTTTTTTTTTTTTTTTGATCATGAAAAACATGTATAAGGTTTTATGTCCATGAATAACTTATCTTATCATTTTACCTTTACCGCCACTTCCATTTTCGTTGGCTCCCCTCAGGATGCTATAATATAAAACATTGTTTGTCAGATTAAATTTTTCCTCAACTTTTACTCTTTCATCTTTCTTTCAGAATATTTAAATGAGATGAGTTTAGAAAACGAGTGAGAGTAAATTTAGAGGAAGAACTTCGACAACTATGAGAATAGCGTCCTTGATTTTAGGATAGATATTTTGGCAGAGATCGCTGACCATTTTGTATAATTTCTGAGCTGAATTGAGTCAGCTTTAGCTTTTACAGCCGTATTTTATTCGCGTCAGTCCAGGATTTGAATCGAAACTTGAAAGTTGTCTTTGCCATGTTAATCTAATAAGCTTTTATATTCTGTTAATTCCTCAAGCACATGCGTTACTTTAATTTTTTTATATTAAATTTGCAAGCATATGTTTTACTTTAATTATTTATATTCGTTTAATTCCGCGAGCAGATGAGAACTTAACTTTTATATTTTGTTAAAACCACAAGCAGATGTTTTAACATTTGTATTCTCTTAATTCCTCAAGCAGATATTTTACTTATTATTACTTATTTATTACTTATATTTTACTTATTTATTAAGATATCTACGCATAAATTTTATATTTTATTAATTTTGCAAGCATATGTTTTACCTTAACGTTTATCTTCCGTTAATTCCGCAAGCAGATGTTTTGTCTTTTATATTTTTTTAATTCCACAAGCAGATGTTTTACCTTAACTTTTATGTTTTATTAATTTCACAAGCAAATGTTTTAACTTCTATTAATTCTGTAAGCAGAGAATTCTTTCTGTTATTACACAAGCTGTGTAAATTGTTAGGATGGAAAATTAATAAAACTATACATATATATAAAACTATATAAACTATATATAAGTCAATAATGCAGTTGCTATTTCTATGAAGGGCAAAATTTAATATTTATACTAATTAGGCTCTGGAAGATTAAGTCATCCATTATATGCAAATTAAAGAAAAATTGTGTCCCATTATATGCAAAACTGAATTTTTAAACACATTATCGAAATTATATGATTTCAGTCACACTTTTTAAAGCAAAGCATGTCTATTTAAGAGCGTAATAAGGGAGCTTCACAAGGGTCAGTTTAAGATACATAATAAAAGCACTTTTCAAAACCAAACTATTCGAAATTCTGCGTGCGGTAATGCAGTGGTATTAAAGCTACGTATAAACAAAACACGACACTAAAATATGGATTGTATTAAAAACCAGTCATTACCCGAGAATCAAAACAGTATTTTCCTTAGATTATAAAAACAGCAAAATTAATTTAATACATAATATTTATACGTAGTTCGCATTTTTCAAAAAAAAAAGTGTCGTTATAAAAATCATTTTATACTACATGCATACACATGTCATTCATCACATAGAATATGCTTTTTATGTATTTCATATTATTTTAGAATTTAGTGAACTTTTAATTTATGTTGCCATTCGATAAAGAATAAGATATTTGTATTTCAAATTTATTAAGAAAATCAACGAATAAAAGAATAGAACTACCACTCGATAAAGCGCATTATATTTGTATTTCGAAATGAACCAACAAACTCAGAGATTTAAAAGAAATGTCTTGCTACTGTCCGAATTAAAATGTCTTTATCTTCCACGTGTCAGTTGTATGAAACACCCATTTGGACGTAATTTATAATCTGGGATCTTTCAGATTTTTTTATTTTTATAATTAACTTTTGTTTAATTTTTTTAAATTACTTTATTGAAGTTGTTGTAAAAATGTGTAAATTCCCTCTGTAACTTGCAGGAGATCCACATGAGATCCTGGATTTCGTTTTCACAAGCGTTGGTCACAGAATTCCAATCACAAAATTTTTTTTAAATAATGATTAAATTTTTTAATTAAAAGAAAGGAATTTTCGAAAATCTGCTTAATCTAACATTTTTGACGTTCTTCCAATTCTTGTATTTATATTTAGAAAAATTTGGTACTCATTATAAAGTACGACAAAGTTTTACCAAAATACACATGTTTCAAAATTTATGATATTTTATGTCATTTTAAAGTTTCATTGAGGGGTTTCGATTAATAAATAAATTAGAGTCATGTTTTTCTTTTAAATCCCATTCAATTATATTATTTTGTGATTTACTAATGTTTGCTAATTCTATTTGACTACTAATTTTGTTATATTTAGTATGCCGAAGGAATTTCATGGTTAGTAATTTGTAAGTTTTCGAAGTCTAAAAAATGTTGTCAGTATTCTCAAGAAGCGTCATTACTTTACAATCGCACAAAAAGGTTATTAAACTAAAAATATTTTTAATTTTTAATGAAAGCGAATAATGTTACAAATTATTTACTTGCCAATACTGAAGCTTGACTTTATTTTCTAGAGCCACGAATTCTATAAGATTATGAGAATAAAATCTCATTTTTGAAAACAATTTATTTTGTCAAATGCACTTTATTTTGACAATACTCTGCATAAGAATACTCATTACTTAATCTTTTAACATCAGACATCTTTTTCTGATGAGTGATATTTTATTTTAACTTACCCGACATATGCAAATATTTCGCGCTTCACTCTGTGTACGGCCTCTAAATGATCCTCGAATTTAATACCAAATATCTCGGCCTATTTCTGTCGTACGTGAGTGAAATATTTTGTTTGTTTTACAAACAAGTACAAAATTTTTTTAAGGCTGGAGGAATGTAAAAAGGTGAATTTCGTAATTTTCACAAAATTCTTTTTTTTTAATTTAAAACGGTCAAAACATGGATATTTGAGTCTTTTAAAGCATTTGCCGGGTAAGAACATTTTACAGACAATCTCTGTAACTGACAATGAAATAAACGGTGAGTTGTTGCTAATGCTCACTTGTCTGACATATTGTCAACCCAAGCCCACGAAAATCCTCCTCGCAAGGAGCGCAAGTTTTATACATGTTGTTGGCAACTGCCTTGAGCTCCTTACAGGTGACAGTGCGATTTAGCTCAGTTCCGCTCCCAATTTTGATGGGCAGCACCCCGTGGTGGAGACGGATCTCATAGCCTCCCATCCCTCTTCCTCTGCCACCAGCGTCTTGAGAGGACTTCCGACTCACCACATTAGCCCAAAGGAGCTATTGGCTGACAAGGACTATTAATTTCTTTTTAACATTTTGCATTGATTCACTACAAACGGCGCTTCACTTTTCAAATTGTCGCCACCAAATATTACAGCCTTGCAGTATATTTAAAGAAATTAATAATGAAGTATCTACATGAATATATGTTTATAGTGTTGTGAAAAACTACGGTACCAAGAGACATCAAATTCTGAATAACGTAGTCCTTCTCCCGAATATGAGCATCTGGAAGCTCAAATTTGGAATTTGGAATTTGTTTTATTATCTATTTCATATTTTGTAAAATTTTAGCGAATTTTTGATTAACAAACTCAGCGATTTCAAATCGAACAATGGCAACACTATACAATTTTTTTTTTTAAATTACCTGCAGCACGCGAGACTGTGTATCGGAAATTCTAAAGGTATGCTTTTGAAATTATTTTCTGATATTGCTGTTGAACTGTATTTTACAGTTGAAGTACGAAGAACATTATATTTAAAAAATAAGTAATACAATCTAAACGTTCAAAAGAACAAGGAAGCGAGGCAACGCTGTGAGAATTTTAGCTTTAACCAGGTTACACCACAAAGGGGCATGTCACGTTACAGGAATTTTTCCAACATTCTGGCTGACTCAGTTGTCTTCCTGTAGATTCCTACTCAATGTGGCATCGAGGGAAATTCAAGAGCCGATTTCCTGCCAAAGAAACAAACGACTATTCTACCAACCACTAAATAACCATATGTATCGGAACCATATGTATATGTATCGGAAAACCATATGTAAATAACCATATGTATGTGTATCGGAAATTCTAAAGGTATGCTTTTGAAATTATTTTGTGATATTGCTGTTGAACTGTATTTTATGGTTGAAGTACGAAGAACATTATATTTAAAAAATAAAGGTAATACAATCTAAACGTTCAAAAGAACAAGGAAGCGAGGCAACGCTGTGAGAATTTTGGCTTTAACCAGGTTACACCACAAAGGGGCATGTCACGTTACAGGAATTTTTCCAACATTCTGGCTGACTCAGTTGTCTTCTTGTAGATTCCTACTCAATGTGGCATCGAGGGAAATTCAAGAGCCGATTTCCTGCCAAAGAAACAAACGACTATTCTACCAACCACTAAATAACCATATGATATTTAATTCTGCAAAACTTCTAATTAAATAAGAATTTAAGTAGAGGTTTGCCTTTTACTTATCAAATGAAGCTAAGGGGAAGGTTTAGGACTGTCTCAGCAGTTCAAAGCCAGTTATTCCAGATTTTTTACCTCGTCCTGTAGCCGTGGTGTTATTTTGTCTTTTGAATGAGCATGATTGTCTCAATGGTCATCTTTTGAAAATTCGACTTAAAGTTTCTTTAGGGATTTTTTGTAACCCTGGATTCTTGTTCCTAACTATTGGAAAGCAAGATCAAGACTGATGGCTTACAGGCCAAATGTCTGGCATTGGTATAAATAAATAAATAAAGGTAACCCACAAAACGTTAAAAAAAAAGGTCCCTTTGGGCGTAATATAAAATCTGAAAGCTTTCATACCTTTTAATCCAGCGGAGCAATTAGCCCTGAAAGACCATTAATTTCGTTTCGGCATT